TCATTAATTATTAAATATCAGAGAAAGCCTAATTACATCTGAACAGCGTGACGCCATTAAGTAAATTGTCTGAAAAATTGGTACAGCGCAGCATACAGAGCTTTTTTCCATCATCTCTCTAAAGATACAGTATCATTCTTAATGGACCACTTTGTACTTTTGCAATTCAGAGGCCTGTTTCAAAGAAACAAAAAAGACAGACAAAAAACATTGTGTGCAATGCGACTGCAATTACTTTATTTTCTACTAGGTCACATAACAGAAACAACATGGTGGATGTATTACTTGCAAATTTCATTTATACTACCCATATTCCTACTATCCACCTTATTCCTACGCCCCATGACGCTTTGCGCGTATTATGGGTGTAACGTCCATTAAGCTGTAAACAATCAGTGAAAGGCTCACTCTAAAAAAGTGTCACTATGAGATGACATTAATCGACTCACTCTTCAACCATCGAACATTAAAATGAAATTTAAAAGTGTAAAAGAATCAACAAGGTACTTTCAACAGACCAAAAATAGCCCCATAAGCATGAGTCTTTGGTTAAATATCACTGTAGTATATCTGTATTGTGTAAATGCCTTTTAAAAATCAAAAATGTTCATTAAATTCAGCATTACGTGACACTATATCAAAGTGATTTTCGTCATTTTGACAGATTATGAATTGCATTTACCCGTGAAAACAAACGTGTAAAGAGACGTGAGGATTTGAGGAGAATAACAAGAGATTCTTCTTGCGTTCCAGTGAATTATTAATGGAATATCGTAAATTAAATTCAGGAGAACAGACCACAAATGTGCCGTATGTTGTCCATTTTCATACTTTTACAGCGGATTGCAAAGGAAAAAATAAAAATCCTCATGAGGAAAAGAAAGCAGCGACTGAAAAGTACTCTTGCCATTGATATTCTTGTTATACGCTAAAATACCAAGTATAACGTTATTCTCATGTCTGAAAATAAATCATGAAGGAAAATTGACAGCTCATCCAGTTAAACTGACGGATCAGCTTTATTTGTAAGGTAACCTTATGATTTGAAATGATTCGTTTCAGTCTTTTTGAATGGAAGTTCCCCAAACCGGAAGTGCCACCTATATTCAAAACGCAGTGAGGTCGTCAGGAATAAGGTGGATAGAATGTAATATTTTAAAGTTTTTGAAGTTAAGTCAAATTTAAATGTAGTACGTACTCAGCAGTACTGTACACACCAACTGTCATAATGGGATACTCCACTTTTTTAGGAAATAGGCTCATTTTACAACTCCCCCAGAGTTAAACAGTTGAGTTTTACCCTTAAGCCGATTTTCTGATATTTAGAAGAATACCAGCAACCAGACAACCAGGTTTCTGGTCTCATTGACTTCCATAGTATATATTTTTTTCCTACTATGGAAGTCAATGAGACCAGAAACGGTCTGGTTACTGATATTCTTCTAAATACCAGAAAATCATCTGAATGGATTCTAAAACGTTAAAACTCTGTTTAACTCAGAGGAGTTGTAAAATGAGCCTATTTCCAAAAAAAAGTGGAGTATCCCTTTAACAAGTGTGTCATTGAATCATTCATTCAATAATTCATAATCATTCATTCAAAGAGTCAGTCTATGAATCGTTCATTAGACCAATTTGTTCAAAAACTCCGATTCATTCAGTAATTAAATGTGTTGCTCTGAGACGCGCAATGGCTCTACTGTGGATTTTTTGGAACTATTTTCATTGGTGAAATGGAGTAAATCAACAATATTCTAAAAAAATATTCTAAAATATAATTAATCTAACAATAATTTCTTGTTTTTTGGACTGTTATATAAAATATATACTGTAGACCTATCACATTTGCAACCATGCTGATATTTGGGAAAACAGCACATTGTGTTTGTGTGGTATTGCTTAACTATATCCCGTCATAAATATTAAAAACAAGAACTTTTGTCCCATATCTTGAATTTTGGGAACATTTTTGCTCCAAGCCCACTTTAATTTCTTTCCCTGCTGTGTGTGCAGAATGATCTTTTTCAAGCGCAAGCGGAGACTCCTTCTGTTGCGAGGCCCGTTCAAGTGAAACGAGTGAAACCGAGCAAAGGCCGCTAATGGTTGCAAAATGATGTAACATCTGTCGATTTTTTTTTTACACTCTAAGTTACAAATAAAGCAGCTTCAATATACAACACATTGTAAAATACACTTTAACAATTCAGAATTTATTTAATTAAAATACATTTGAAACATCCAGTAAAATTATATTTCAAATATTTACTGCATTTTTTTCTTTCCTTTTTTTTACTTTCTTTTTTTATACAAAAGTTATCACAAACTGTACACATCATAACAACATACATAGCGATTGTTTTAGTTGTCTGGTGCAAATATGACAAAAAATCACTGAGAAGCAGTTCATCAATAGCTCGACAAGAAATCATCTCAGGAAGTTGAGTGCTAATCAAAACAGTTGTACAATTTTTAGAAGCCATTACACAATATATGCAAATTGTGTATAAAGTTATTCAAGACCACGAGCCCATAGTACAAACCAACCACCAAACGATCCATAGAAATGCACTTCAACAAGATAACAATTCGAAGAAATTCTCAAGTATCTATACACACATGCCAGCAATGGCAAGTTAAATGAATTAAAAATACTACCTCTCAGAAATAATATCTAAACCATACATTTCTAAACCATATTTAATGTACTGGTATCAGCATGCTACAAGAATACTTCATCTTTGTTCTAAAACTCTGACCGAGCTCTGGGGCAGAAGCACTTTCTTCATGTGCAAATCAAAGTTAACAGTACACAGCCGTTTGTGTAATTGCCATGATTGCATTATTACTTAATGGACACACCAGAAAACACCCAGCTTTAAAAGGTTGGTGTGCAATTACCATAGTATACTATATTATTATTATTATTTGCATACTGACTGAATAGATGCAGGATGATTCACTCAATGAATACCGATTCTCTGACATAAGAAAACTCGACTACAACACCGATTAATCAACAGGCAAATTTCTATTGTCCATGACCACAACATGTGAATATTGTATCAGTTGAGCCTGTAGTTTGTGTGGGTAGCAGTGCTTTACCTGTTATTTCACAGTTGAAAGAAAGAAAGAAGTTTCAGTGGCTTTAATTTTTTTACAAGAGTGGAAGAGGGATGATTGATTAATTTTAGATTTGAGAATTTGATGTTTGGTAAGGGTTTCATATATTTAAAAATATTAAAAAATCTTAATGTTAATTGATATAAATATTATCTTGCATAATATAGGGCATAATCAAAAATTGTATTATGATGTTTGTTCTACTTTGACTTGAGAGAACCATCAATCTAAACAACAACAAAACACGCTACATCTTTGGCTACTGTGTAAGTCCCTTTTAAACATCATTTTCATCACATGCTAGTTAAGAAAAAAAGAAGAAAATTTGTGTCAGATTATGACCGCTCTTAAAGGAGTAGTTCACTTTTAAAAAAAATTTTTGCTGATAATTTACTCATCTCCATGTCATCCAAGATGTCCATGTCTTTCTTTCTTCAGTCGAAAATAAATTTTTGATGTTTTTGATGAAAACATTCCAGCATTGTTTTCCATATAATGCACTTCAATGGGAACCAAATGGTTCAAGGTCCAAAAGACACTTTCAGTGCAAACTGCAAACTGTTCAAAGCGCTTTAAACAATTCCAGGCGATGAATAAGGGTCTTATCAAGTGAAACGATCGCTCATTTAATAAATAAATAACAACGTTTAAGTTTTATAAGCTCAAATGCTCGCCTTGCTCTGTAACGCACGTTTATGACTCTCCTGTTTGAACTCGTTCATCAAAATGAACAAAACTTTTTCCGAGTCATTTGGTTCAATTAACAAACAAAACGAATGAATTGACTCAGAAAAAGATTTGTTCATTTTGATGAATGAGTTCGAACAGGAGAGTCATGAACGAGCTTCGCAGTACCCATTTGAGCTTATAAACTTAAACTTTGTAATTTTTTTTTTTTTAAATGAGCGATCGTTTTGCTTGATAAGACCTTTATTCATCGTCTGGAATCGTTTAAAGCCATTTGAACAGTTTGCAGTTTGCAATGAAAGTGTCTTTTGGACAGTGAAATGTTTGGTTCCCACTGAAGTCCATTATATGGAGAAAATCCTGGAATGTTTTCATCAAAAAACTTAATTTCTTCTCGACTGAAGAAAGAAAGACATGGACATCTTGGATGACATAGGGGTGAGAAAATTATCAGCAAAAGTTTTTTGGAAAAGTGAACTACTCCTTTAAGTTAACTTTTAGTGACCTCCTGAAATATTTGCCTGCTAGATTTCAGTGCCTTTATGTACAATATCTCTTTTTTTATGTCAATGCCTTCTTATCCTGTGTACATATACAGTATTACAGCTGAGTAATTGATTCTTTTCCATTTATTTAACAAATTCGAGACGTTCAAGTACAATGAGCATATCATTAAATATATATTAATATATAATTGAATTAAATTACATTTTAATGTCTTTAAATCAGAATACAACAGTTTTATTAAAATAAAGATTCTTTAGAATTAATTAACAAGCAAGTGATTTCTCACCATTGTTTCTCCATACCAAACAGGTCTTGATTTCATATTCAAACACCTCGTCTTTTCACTCCCTAACACTGCATTAAATTTGTCAAATATTTTCACCAGACAGGGGAATGTATAACTGAAACGTTCAAGAATACGAAATGATAAGCACAGTCATTTCATGTGTCTGTAACATGTCATAGCATCATTATACTGTCAAACAGCAAGAAGCTTCACATTCACTGTCAGCGAATTTCACTGTCTTTCACTGTCAGCTTCAAAGTGACCTGAAAACTATTGTTTTAGGAGCTCATAAACTCAGCACCAGTTAAAGCAAAATGTCAGAGAAATTGTGAGATTTGGATACATGATTGTGTCTGTAGCAGGTATACCAGTACTGTTTAGTCCTTTTTTTCAAATTAAAATGCAACATTACAGGCTACGACTAGAGAAAAATATACCGTATTAATTATACAAACCAAATGTGTTTTGCAGTTAGGATTGTGTGGATTCCAGGATATTATGGGGTCAGTGGGGGTTTTGGGGATGGACATGATCCTTGACTCTCAAAACTGGATGCTCTTCCTGGCCACTGCAGGGACAGATGATACCAAAATATTACAGAAGAGTAGTTTAGGACATATTAGACTTGAATGCACTTGGCATATGGATCCGAATGAGCCCAAAGCACCAAATCAGGGCTCAATCTACATAACATTGGCCCTGTTTAGCTCTTTGGTCTGTTACATGGAGTTTTTATCTTGTCTCTTTAAATGAACATCAAGTCCAAAAGTTTAAATTTGGCATGGCGTAAAAACAGCATAATATTGCATCACTTTTCTTATGGGCAAGTGGCATTTGCGCCCTGCTTTCTCCTCGGATGTCTAGTCTCTCACCTCACAAAGTGCATGCCAGTGGGTGATGGGCTTGCGTGGATAAGCTAGCATTTCGTTCCAGTGGTCCCTTCCAAGACCCTCCGCATCCGGCCCTGTCCTGCACACCCCTATCACTTCATTGTGTCCAACTCTGAAAGAGAAACAGAACGCAAGACTTTGTTTTAGAAAAAGTTTTCATTGGTGAGTGGTTCGCGCAACTGAAAAGGATGTATCCAGATGCAAAATAATGGATAAAGACTGAGGAAACCAGTGGAACTATTAGCGATCATGCTTGATCAACAGGACCATGGCATAAACAACTGCCAAGCATGTTATCTGACTTAATATAATAATTATCATCATCTTTTATGTCAGAATATTTAATCTTCAGCATGTTGTGAGTTAACACTGGGATAGGCTCTTGTATCGCCGTGACCCTACAAGCGGTTCGGAAGATGAATGGATGGAGGTTTTTAATTTGAATGGTATTTGTTTTGATAGTATCTTAAAAGGCAGGGACTGACCTGTCGTAATCCATCACTGTGATTGACAGGCTGACCTGCTCCACGTTCTCAGGTGGGATGTCGAAAATGATGGCCTCATTATAGATGGGGTTGAGTGTGTTCTTCTTGGTGGTTGTCTTCCGCTTCTTCAGTCTTCGACCGTCACATATGAGGGAGACTTTAACATATGGATCTGTATGTTAGGGGAAGCAAAGGGAATCAGTTTGGAGCTTTTCAGATTCAAAACACACACAAAATAAAGCTGGTTATTTATCATATTCAACAACCAAAATCTTTTTTTTAGACCTTGGTAATATTTTATGCATAAAAGAATTACATAACATGTATTTTCTGTTTAGCTGTCTTAACCCTCATGTTCTGCTTGCAATCTGACAGACCCCACAGGCGTTATAATATCTTCAAAACACATATTTGCATTGAAGTGTCAGGTTTATGGCATTTCCTCCTCTTATGCAAACAATACAATTTTTTAACTTGATAGCATGCATCATATATCCTTATGCCAAATGTTACATTTTGTTGGGGTTGCAGAGACCCTAGGCATAAACAAAATGCAATTACTTTTCATATGAGATTTTCTGATTTATGTACACACCGTAGTGTAGAAGGAAACTATTGCCAATAGTCTAATTGGATTTGATGTTATTGTATTTTTCTACAATACATTTTTGTACTTAAAATGCTAATATATTTGATACCGGTGACATGTTTAATCTACCTTGTGATACAATGCTAAAGTTAAAAAAAAATGTCTATATAACATGAGGAGAAGAGTGGTTAAAACATTAAAGTTATTATTTTCATCATAATTTAAGTCAGGGGTGTGCAATCCTGCTCCTGGAGGGCCACTTTATATCTTCAATCCTACAGGATACAGGATATCTTCAATCCTAAATAAAATTAAAGCTGCAAGCAGCATTTAGCGGGGTTCAAGCAGTTTAGGCCTTTAAGGCCTTTAAGCACAAAAGCATCAAAAGACATTAAGTTTTAAGTTTCAATAATGGCAATTTATTATAGGGTATACATTGTTTTTAATATTTTTAACAATTATAGCGCCACCTATAGTCCGATCTCCATGAAACTTTGCATGCTTGTTGAATACGTTATGACACATGTGCTCATCAATTTTTGTGAAGTTCTGACTTTTCCTTTAGGATTTATAGGCTTTTGGGTGCATTTTGTCATGCCCCCTTTTTTAAATGACCCTGTTATAGCAAAACAAATGACAAAGTTCAACTTTTTTTGATAATTATTGATCTAGAGAGTCCAAAGAATTGTCCCAGACTGGTCTGGTTCCGATCGGGCAAAAAACCAGGGACTAGTTCGCAAAAGTAGGTTTTTAACATATTTGTGAATATTTAACGAACGATTTGATTGACAGCAATGGTTCTTGAGGCAAAGTTGTTCAGCATGAGGAGATCTATCAATTGATATACATATTGTGGGGGTGTGTGCAACACCACGTGATAACAGAGCCATAAAACTCGTTAGCGCCAACTAGTGGCCGATTTCTTTCAAAATTCTTACAGACCTCTAGGGCCATGAGTCAAACATGCCCAACGAGTTTCGTTCCGATCGGCCTTCGTTAACCTTGTTTTATAGGTGCTCAAACTTCATTGGCCGATGGCGGCCATGTTTTTTGAGATACACCAATGTCCTCATACACATACATGGGGCCTTGGACAAAGACACTGCATACCAATTTTCAAGTCAATCGGACTAACGGTCAGCTGGTCAGAGCCCTTTTTTAGTTTTATTCGTTTTATAGCGCCACCTAGTGTTCCATCGTGGGGATTTTTTTACTGTGACCTCAAATTGAGCTTATACATATGTGTACCGAGTTTGTTGAGGATATCTCATTTACTTCTCGAGTTATAGCCATTTTAGTAAAATAGGCTCCTCCCACAACATTTATTTTGCGCCCCCTAGCGACCGCAAAGAGACTTTTTCAACATTTTTTTGATAATTATTGATCTTCAGACTCCAGAGAACATTCCTGCACTGGTTTGGTTCCGATCGGGCAAAAAACCAGGGACTAGTTCGCAAAAGTAGTTTTTCGACAAAATTCAAAATGGCGGAAAAATTTCCATACCGGAAATGAAATCGGAGATAAACGTTTTTTTCGTCAGGTGACCAGCTTTCCAATGATATAAGACACTTGAGTGTACGACTTACGGTCTAGGAGTTATGAGCCGTTTCGCGCAATTGGTCGCTATAGCGCCACCTATGGGCCAATCGGGCTCATAATTTGATAACCTCTCCTCGATTTTTGTACTACCATCTGACAAAGTTTCAGAGCTCTAGCCCTTACGGTTTGGGCTGCACGATGCGTTTTAGGGGAGAATAATAATAATAATAATTAAAGCTGCAAGCAGCATTTAGCGGGGTTCAAGCAGTTTAGGCCGTTAAGGCCTTTAAGCACAAAAGCATCAAAAGACATTAAGGTTTAAGTTTCAATAATGGCAATTTACCATAGGGAATACATTGTTTTTAACATTTTTAACAGTTATAGCGCCACCTATAGTCCGATCTCCATCAAACTTTGCATGCTTGTTGAATAAGTTATGACACATGTGCTCATCAATATTTGTGAAGTTCTGACTTTTCCTTTAGGATTTATAGGCTTTTGGGTGCATTTTGTCATGCCCCCTTTTATAAATGACCCTGTTATAGCAAAACAAATGACAAAGTTCAACTTTTTTGATAATTATTGATCTAGAGTGTCCAAAGAATTATCCTAGACTGGTCTGGTTCCGATCCGGCAAAAAACCAGGGACTAGTTCGCAAAAGTACGTTTTTAACATATTCGTGAATATTTAACGAACGATTGATTGACAGCAATGTTCTTGAGGCAAAGTTGTTCATCATGAGGAGATCTATCAATTGATATACATTTTGTGGGGTGTGTGCAACACCACGTGATTACAGAGCAATAAAACTCGTTAGCGCCAACTAGTGGCCGATTTCTTTCAAAATTCTTACAGACCTCTAGGGCCATGAGTCAAACATGCCAACGAGTTTCGTTCCGATCGGCCTTCGTTAACCTTGTTTCATAGATGCTCAAACTTCATTGGCCGATGGCGGCCATGTTTTTTTAGATACGCCAATGTCCTCATAGATATACATGGGGCCTTGGTCCAAGACACTGCATACCAATTTTCAAGTCAATCGGACTAACGGTCATGTGGTCATAGCCCTTTTTATGTTTTTTTCATATTATAGCGCCACCTAGTGTTCAATCGTCGCTATTTTTTACTGTGACCTCAAATTGAACTCGTACACATGTGTACCGAGTTTGGTGAAGATATCTCATTTACTTCTCGAGTTATAGCCAATTTAGTAAAATAGGCTCCTCCCACAACGTTTATTTTGCTTCCCCTAGCGACCGGAAATAGAAATTTCAACATTTTTTTGATAATTATTGATCTTCAGACTCCAGAGAACATTTCTGCACTGGTTTGGTTCCGATCGGGTAAAAAACCAGGGACTAGTTCGCAAAAGTAGTTTTTCAACAAAATTCAAAATGGCGGAAAAATTTCCATACCCGAAATGAAATCGGAGATATACGTTTTTTTCGTCAGGTGACCAGCTTTCCAATGATATAAGACACTTGAGTGTACGACTTACGGTCTAGGAGTTATGAGCCGTTTCGCGCAATTGGTCGCTATAGCGCCACCTATGGGCCAATCGGGCTCATAATTTGATAAACCTCTCCTCGATTTTTGTACTACCATCTGACAAAGTTTCAGAGCTCTAGCACTTACGGTTTGGGCTGCACGATGCGTTTTAGGGGAGAATAATAATAATAATTAAAGCTGCAAGCAGCATTTAGCGGGGTTCAAGCAGTTTAGGCCTTTAAGGCCTTTAAGCACAAAAGCATCAAAAGACATTAAGGTTTAAGTTTCAATAATGGCAATTTACCATAGGGAATACATTGTTTTTTAACATTTTTAACAGTTATAGCGCCACCTATAGTCCGATCTCCATGAAACTTTGCATGCTTGTTGAATAAGTTATGACACATGTGCTCATCAATTTTTGTGAAGTTCTGACTTTTCCTTTAGGATTTATAGGCTTTTGGGTGCATTTTGTCATGCCCCCTTTTATTAATGACCCTGTTATAGCAAAACAAATGACACAGTTCAACTTTTTTGATAATTATTGATCTAGAGTGTCCAAAGAATTGTCCTAGACTGGTCTGGTTCCGATCGGGCAAAAAACCAGGGACTAGTTCGCAAAAGTACGTTTTTAACATATTCGTGAATATTTAACGAACGATTTGATTGACAGCAATGGTTCTTGAGGCAAAGTTGTTCAGCGTGAGGAGATCTATCAATTAATATACATATTGTGGGGGTGTGTGCAACACCACGTGATAACAGAGCCATAAAACTCGTTAGCGCCAACTAGTGGCCGATTTCTTTCAAAAATTCTTACAGACCTCTAGGGCCATGAGTCAAACATGCCCAACGAGTTTCGTTCCGATCGGCTTCGTTAACCTTGTTTTCATAGATGCACAAACTTCATTGGCCGATGGCGGCCATGTTTTTTTAGATACGCCAATGTCCTCATAGATATACATGGGGCCTTGGTCCAAGACACTGCATACCAATTTTCAAGTCAATCGGACTAACGGTCATGTGGTCATAGCCCTTTTTATGTTTTTTTCATATTATAGCGCCACCTAGTGTTCAATCGTCGCTATTTTTTACTGTGACCTCAAATTGAACTCGTACACATGTGTACCGAGTTTGGTGAAGATATCTCATTTACTTCTCGAGTTATAGCCAATTTAGTAAAATAGGCTCCTCCCACAACGTTTATTTTGCTTCCCCTAGCGACCGGAAATAGAAATTTCAACATTTTTTTGATAATTATTGATCTTCAGACTCCAGAGAACATTTCTGCACTGGTTTGGTTCCGATCGGGTAAAAAACCAGGGACTAGTTCGCAAAAGTAGTTTTTCAACAAAATTCAAAATGGCGGAAAAATTTCCATACCCGAAATGAAATCGGAGATATACGTTTTTTTCGTCAGGTGACCAGCTTTCCAATGATATAAGACACTTGAGTGTACGACTTACGGTCTAGGAGTTATGAGCCGTTTCGCGCAATTGGTCGCTATAGCGCCACCTATGGGCCAATCGGGCTCATAATTTGATAACCTC